GTGTAGGCTACTCCGCGGGCTACTCTAGCATAATGGGTACATGACAGATAGGCTAAGCCTCAGTTCAGGTGCTGCATCTTGTTTGAATGACACCACCTTGATTGCTTGTGTACATAGTGTGAATTAATACGAAAGACATTACATGCATTAGGCCATTCATAGTTTCTCCATTCATGGGTGAGGCTGATGTTGGCATCCAAGCGGCTTCATTATTATTCACTAAAATTTTTAATAAAAATTAAAAATTTTAATTAAAAATTTTAATTAATTAAAATTTCTTTACAAATTTTTAATGTAAAGTGTATTTCCTTATTGTCTCTTATATGAGTGTTATTTTTGATAACACTCATTATAAGAGATAAAGCACCTGACCCTCAGCCTGCCCGGCTGACTAGTGACTACCTAGTCTCATGTAGCCATGCAGACCCATCCCCATGAGCCGCCTACATGAGACTAGCCAGTAGATAGTAGCGCAGCTACCCCTTAAAATCCAAGCTTCACACAGGCAAAGAAATTGTACAAGATTTCCTGTAGCTCTTTAAAACCACCAATTGTGTACAAGATTTCTAAAGTGGATCTATCTACTTGAAACATATTTGCTGTACTCTGTCAGTTAAGTATTAGTTAAAGCACTGTTGAGAGTAGGTTACAAAAATTATTGCACGAGGGGCGGTCGAGAGGAAAATGTAGCACGAGGCGAAGCCGAGTGCTACATTTTCGTTGAGACCGTCCCGAGTGCAATAATTTCCGTAATCTAGGAATCAACAGTGCTTTGATTGGTTTGTAGTGGTGCGTGGTCGGATCAAATGAAATTTCAAAAGTCGTGGAGGTGGCCGGTGCAAGAGACGATCAGATCTCATTTATCACTATTATTATTGTTACATGTCTAGTGTATGTAGCTGAGGCTGTTATTTGCCTCTATCAAAGCTTGTGGTTAACAGGAAAGCCCATACATATTATACTGTGCAGTACTATATATTCCACACAGTGCTACATTTTCCTACCAATGCTACCATGCGGTTATTGATAGTGCTGGGCGATATATCAAAACTCACAATATTTAATCGATATGATGCGGTATCGATACTTATCAATATTGAAAAAATTTGAAGAAAATATCGATAACGAGGCCACGCCCACAAAATGGTTACATAACCTTAATAAATGGTTAATTAAATATAGGAGTAACATCTCGAAAATTACTAAAATGTATTTTCTTGGAAAGTAGATGAAGTAGCTGAAGTATATGAAGCTAAAGAAGGTTTTTATAATGCTTTTCAATAATAATTGTTCTCAGAAATAGCTTTATTTAGCCATTATAGTAATATTAAAGTTAATGGGTGTGGCTTAATGACTTATCGATAAAAAAATATCGATATCCTCATTATTAGGCAATATCCTATCATATCGTATCGTTTCAAAATTTTCAATATCGCCCAGCACTAGTTATTGAAAGTTGTAGCACTGGCGGCACCTTTGATCCGCCCACGCATCATACTACAAAATTATAATTATAGACTAGTTATTGTATATGGCACTATATAAGCATAATAGGTAGCATAGTAAGCAACCATCAAATAAATCTGCCATTTTGGTATGACAAGTATCATCACATGTAAACTAGCCACCAAATTACAAAATTTTAACAACCAATATTTTTGGCTGTATGTATTAATGTTATTTAATATAATGTATAGATATTGATGTACTTAAGATCAATGATGAAGTACAAGAAACACTCACTGATACACTGCTTGGTAAGACTAAGAGAGTATATAGTGTTATTATTATTATTATACACTCATGCAGATATTAGAGATCTTGCTATAGTCCTTCAAGAATTAACATCAAATCAACAGTTTGATTATGCTAATTGGAAATTTTTGGGTCTCTACTTAGGATTATACCAACCTACACTAAAAGCAATTGAAATAAACTGCAGAGGACAAGTGAAGGACTGTCTAATAGAGTGTATATCTTTCTGGCTAAAGGGAGAGGATGGAGTAAGAGATACAAGAGGAGGTGGATCAAACTGGATATCATTAGTAGCAGCACTAGATGTAATGGGAGAGAGGGAGGTTGCTAATAACATTAGAATGAAGTATCATTTGCCAGGTTAGTAGATGACTGTATAGAGTATTGTATAGCTGGTTTTTTTAACTGGGCCAAACTTGTTTTTTGTGGAAAATACAATTTTGTGCATTTTATATTTTATCTACCGTATAGTGGGTATATTCCGTTCGAGTTTAATTTCGTTCTTTTTGTTCTCATTCCTTTTGGAACGAACATTTTCCAAACGAAAAGGGCGTTTCCTCAATCCCACGTGTGTAAAATGGCTGCTCAGAACGAAAATAAAATGAACGAAAATTTCTAGAACGAACATTTTCCCAGACGAAATATACCCGCTATACAGTACTCTATTGCCTATAGAGATAGATAGGTACAGTATATGTGCTCAAATGTTTAATCTTTAGAGCTTGGAGAACGGAAAGGGTGAAAGTTTGCCCATAGGAAAAATGTCTACATGTACATTTCTACATGTAAAATGTCTACTGTTATTTGTGAGTACTATTTTTGTGATCCTATTCTGCTTTTTAAACTCTTACCACCTTTTGATATAATGATATCTTTCTTAATTTCAACCATGTTAGAAATAAAAGGTCTAGTTCACAGCAATTTACTGGCATTTTTCACTGTAAGATAGA